TTGCAGCAATGGGCTCAAGCATATCAGAGATAGTGAAGATGTCACAGGATGGGACAGTATTCAGCTCTTTTATTCATAGGGTACCTATGAGTTGTACTGAACTCAATGGTACCTAACAACAAGAGTACTGCATGCCCTGGTCCTAAACTATCTTTCTAACGCAATTTCCCACCACTTAACCAATTTCTTCTCCATACTCCAGCACATCAGCCTCATTTCATTCTTTTAATACACCTTGTTCGTCCCACTTCTGAATATTTTCTTATTTTGTTCTTCCACTAAGGGGATTTTATCCACCCTTCCCATATCACCTCACCTACTTAAATATTTTCATCCTTATTTCAATATCAATGCCACTTTTGCAAGAATCTATCATTAACTCATAAGAGAACTTAAGTCCTTTATCACGTTCTTATATCATCTGTCCTTTTTCTTTGGAAAACTTATTTTATAAATAATGTGTGTGACTGTATTCCTTTACTAGATTGTAGTTCCACAAGTTGTTATGTGCCATCAAGTTGATCACAACTCAGAATGACCCTATAAACAACAGCTATGAACTTTGGACTATCCTGTCCCATACTCACCTTGTCTGACACACTTGAGCCTATTGTTGTAGTCATTTTGTCAAACCATCTCACTGAATGGCTTCCTCCCTTACACTGAGCTTTTTAAGCATGATGTCGTTCTCCAGGGACTGGCCCCTCCTTACAACATATCCAAGGTATGTGAGACAAGGTTTTATCATGCTTGCCTTCAAGAAACATCCTGGTTTAACTTTTTCCAGGACAAATTTGTTCTCTTGGCAGTCCATGGGATACTCTGTATTCTTCTTCCACACAACTCAGAGGCATCAATTCTTCTGTTCTAGTCACTGTTCAACTTTTAGATGCACACCAAGTAATTGAAAGGCCATGGCTTGGATCAGACACAACTTAGCTCCACAAAGGCAGGGATAAAATCCATTGTACTCACTATTGGGTATTCAGAACTATATCCAATATATTCTTATTGCTATCAAGTGACAATTCTGAATCATGCTGTTGCTGTTCTTTACCATCGAGTCAGAATCAACTCACAGCTGATCTTCTAGTGGGTTTTCAGAGGCAGTATAACACACAGGATGAGACTGGCCATCTTTCTATTGATAGATTTGAACCTAGAGCTGCCCTATAATCCAAGGTTGTAATCTTTACAGAAGCAGACTATATCTTTCTCTCATGGAACGGCTGGTGAGTTCAAAACAATGTTTTAGTTAGCATCTTTAACCTGTTTACCATCATGGCTCTAATATATAATTATGTTCCACAAATACTTGTAATAAACTTCCTTTCATGACAGTGGTTCTCAATCCATTATGTGAAGTTTTTTTAACAATGTCTGCTTTCTTATCCTAAATATTACAATTCAGTCTAGCATATCAGCCAACTCTGACATTTCCACATCTTAAGATTTCTATCTGATTCTCCTGCACAACCAAGATTGAGATCATAAAGGATCAAAATTGAAAGACACTTCTGAAATCATCTGTTTGCTCACTTCATTGTGAAAACGCAGTTAATCCCACCTCATTTTTATTTGTGATATCCTATATACACAGACCAAGCAGCTGTTGTCAGAACAGAACAAAGGATCACTATCATTTTAAATCTTTTCTCTATATTTTTTCAGTCTGTATGCTGAGCAAATCATTCATGAAGTTGGGATATAAGAAGAAGAATGTATTATCAGGATTGAAAGAAAACTCATCAACAACCTTGCCTGTACAAAGTAAAGAGGACTTGAAGCACTTGCTGCAGATCAAAGATTTCAATATAGATTGGATCAAGGAAACATCAAGAAAACAAAAATCCTCACCACTGGACCAATAGGCCAACATCATGATAGATAAAGACTGAAGTTATTAACAATTTTATTTTACTTGGATTCACAATCAACACCCATGGTGGTAACAGTCAAAAAACTAGAAGACATGTCATCTGGAAAAATCTGCTGTCAAAGACCTCTCTAACATGCTAAAGAGCAAAAATAACAGTTAAAGGACTAAAGTGAGTTTGATCCAAGGCACAATTTTTTTCAATTGCCTCCTATGTATTCAAAGTTGGAAAATGAATAAGGATGTGTAAAAAGAGCAAGGGCCATGCGGGGACAGCCACATCTGGCCTTTACCAACTCCACAAAGGGAAACTTGTCCCTTTTAGCAACACAAAACCAATTCCCATGACGTCAGATATGACCCCCACACTTCTGCACCTCTTTCTATTCATCACAACAGTAATGTTACTGCTCAACTGGGTCTGAAATCCATTGCAATAGCTCACAGACCACAAAGAACCATACTGGGGAAGTCAAATGGCTATACTTCAGATGGGTAGCAGACACAATCACTCAGTCAAGACAGGTTCTGAAATGTGCTCACAGGCACCTCAATCTCATAGCCCTAGGCAAGTGTTACAAAGCTCTTATTTTAATTAGGTGCCAATGAATCAAGTACACTCACAGAGACCCTATGAACAGCAACAGTTCTGAATTCTGTCCTATCCTGTGCCATCGTCACCACTTCTAATACACGTTAGCCCACTGTGGCAGTCACCATGTCAATACATCTTGATAGCAGTCTTACTCTTTGGCTGACCTTCCACCCTTCCAACCATGATATCCTTTTCCAAGGAATAGCCTCTCCTAGCAACAAGTCCAAAGTATGAGAGATGAAGCTTTGCCATCCTTGCCTCCAAGGAGCATTCAAGCTACACCCTTTACAAGACATACATGTTTGTTCTTTTGGCCATCCATAGGATATTCCGTAGTCTTCTCTAAAACCACAACTTAAAGGCATCAATTCTTCTGTCATTGTTACTGTCTAGCTCTGGGAAGCACAGCAAGTAACTGAAAAGACCACTGTTGTTGTTGTTGCTGTTAGGTACTGTTGAGTCAAGTACAGCTCATAGCAAACCTATGAAAAACTGATCTGAACTGTGTCCTATCCTGTGCCATCCTCATAATTTGTCATCCTGAAGCCCACAGCCAGTCATCATGTCAACCCACCTTGTTGATGGCCTTCCTCTTTTTCGTGGCCTGCCTATCTACCTTCCCAAGGATGATGTCCTTCTCCAAGGAATAAACTCTCCTAGCAACATGACCAAAGTATGTGAGACAAAGTGTCATCATTTTGCCTCCAAGGAGCACTCTGGCTGCACCTTCTCCAAGACACATAAATAGCTGTTTGTTCTCTTGGCAGACCATGAGATCTTCAGAACTCTTTTCCAACACCACAGTGCAAAGGCACCAATTTTTCCTCTGTCATCCTTAGTCATTGTTCAGCTCTCAAAAGCATAGTAAGTGACTGAAAGATCATACCCTGAATCAAGCACATTTTAGTCCTCAATCTGAGATCATTACTCCTCAATTATTTGGAGAGGCTCCTCACTATGTATTTTTCCAGTGCAATGTGTATCTTGATCTCCTGATTGCTGGTACTCCTGATCTCCTGACAGCTGGTACCAAATGTACTGATTATGGATTCATGTAAGATGAAACTGCTGACAGTCTCAATCCTTTCTCTGTCCATCATGATGCTGCCTATTGTTCCAGTGGCAAGATTATTTTCCCTTGGAAAAGACCATTAGTCTCACCAGTTATGGCTCTCCCATGTAGTCCTCTAACTTGGGCAAAATGCTCTTAGTTATGATTCCATGAGAGAGTAGTTCCAAGGTTAGTTCCACTGCAGGTCAGGTCTTTGATTCTCCACTGTGGCCACAGCTGCTGCTGCTGCTGTAGGTCTAGCTGGCACAAGAATCTCTGGCCCAAAAGATGTGTACTGCATGTCTGCTTCTTCTGTGCTGGTGGGGCGATTCTCAAAATCTGCTGCTGAATCTGCTCCATTTAATGGCAAGTCTATCCAATCCCATTATGGACAGACTAGCACACCAAGTTGAAGTCAATGGCTAGCACCACAGGATAAGAGAGTAAGAAATGATGCTTTAAAATTGTGGTGTTGGAAAAAGAGTACTGTGTTGGAGGAAGTGCAAACAAGGTATTCCTGAGGCAAGGCTGACAAAATTTCATCTCTTGTATTTTGGGTATCTGTCAGGAGAAACCAGTCCTTGGGAAAAGTTATCATGGTGGGGAAAGTGAAGGATCAGAGAGAGAAAAAGCCTCAACAAAATGGACTGGCACAGTGACTGTAACAATGGATTTGAACATACTGAAGATCATGAGGAAGGCACACGATAGGGCAAGGTTCACTGGACAAGATCTGCCGTTCACTGGGGTTAACTATGAGACACAGTCAACTTGATGGCACCCAACAACAGAAACAATAATTTCATCCCTAATGGGAGGAGCCCTAATGGCCTTGTAATAAGGAGCTGCACTGTCAATTGAAAGGCGGGTGTTCAAATCCACCACAGCTCCTCCAGAGGAAGATATACAACCTCCACTAGTGCAATTTGCCTCTGAAAACCAGCTAGAGGGTCAGCTTTGAGTCAGTTTCAACTTGACAGCAATGAATGAGTGTTATCAGTAAACTATTCTTTCATCTAGAGTTCCTCAGAATTCCTACCTTTGGTTTTTCTTTTTTTCTAACAAACTAAAGCATCTTCATTAATATCCAAGATATTCCAATTATAATAGAAAACACATTACTCATAAACTGCATGAGTATTTTAAAAACAACCTTCAGTATACATATATTGTAAAATTTTTTTTTCACATCTCCAACAGATTTATTTTTTTAAAGGAATGAATTGTAAGGAAAGAAAAAACATGAGGCAGAGAAAAGTATGGGATAGAAAATAAAAACAAATGTAAGCTGATTTGCTAATTGCTTTATAACCACGACAAACTGGTACAGAGGAAGGTCCTGTACAAAACACAACAAAGGTTCAAAGATGGAGGCATTCTCTTAGCAAGGCTGAAGATTTCAGTCTCTGGTATTTGGAATTTAGGCTGCAGTCCTTGTTTTTGGATGGATCACTGGGTGTGTGGGCACAGTCCATGCTTTAATCAGATTTGAACAGAAGAATGGCAACTTGGCCCAGGTAGAAGTAGATGAAGTGCTTAGTTTCATGTGTCACATAACTACAGAAGTTTCTCCATACGATGCAGTGCCAGGTGGGGTTGTACTTCTTGTCAAACTCCTTCTTGATGTGGGCCGTGATGTCCTTCTCGATGTTGTATTTCTCCAGCGCCTGGGTCGCGCACTCCTCCGACATGTCCACATTTTTGATCACTGCCTTTCGGTCGCACATGGTTGGTTACCCACTTTTCTGAAAGCGAGAGCCAAGCGGACTGCACGGCGGGAGAAGTCCGGCCCGGAGAGAAATGAAGGCAGCGGGGTCCCCGCCCGCCCGGAGTCCTCGAGACTCCTGTAAATTTTTTTTGACATTTCATTACCACCATGTTGTTGCTGTTACATGCCATCGAGTCACCTGAGACACACAGTGACCCTGTCTGAGTATACTAGCTCTGAAACCTGGCCTATCTTGAACCAGTCTCATCATCAACAACAGATCGAATCCCATTTCTCCAGTCACTGAGTCAATGCATCTCATCCTGGGTCATCTTCTCCTGTGCTGTCCCTCCACCCTTTCAAGCATGATGTCCCTCCCCAAGGACTGGAGAGGCCACGTGCCAAAAGCATGTGAATGAAGCCTCAAAATTGTTGCCTCCAGAGAGCAGCCTGGTTTTACCCTCTCCAGGACAGACCTGCTTGTTCTCCTGGCAGTCCTCGGTATGTTCAACACTCTTCTCCAGCACCACAACTCAAAGACATCAATTCTTCTATCATCCTTAGTCACTGTCCAGCTCTCTGATGTATAGCATGTAATTGTGAAAACCATGGCCTGGATCAAGTGCCCCTTTGTCTCTAGACTGAGCACAGTACCCTAGAGAGGTCTGTGACAGCAGACTTTCCCAGTGCAATTAGTCTTTTGAGTTCTTGGCTGGTGCCAACAGTGTTGATTCTGGAGGCAAGCAAGATGAAGTTATCAACAACCTCAATTTCTTCTCTGCTCTATCATGAAGCTGCTAATCAGCCCAGTGGTGATAATCTTTGTTTTTTGTGTTTTTTTTAAAGATATCATGGAAAAATTGAAGCAAAAATTCACATGCAAAAATTTCAGGAGACAAACATGTATGTGCATGGTTATGACATGCCAGAACTGTTTCATTTAATTTCATAATTTATTTGGTTACACACACACACACACACACACACACACACACACAATTATTTACATGGGCGCATTATTTGCAAAATAAATACACTACTCTCCAATCACACTTGTTTAATCTTATTATCTTTCATGAACAAGACTGATATTTAAGATTTATAAAACCCTATACTAAAAGTGCTATCTCAGAAGTGGATGCCACTCCTGCTTTCAAGCCTGTTTTAATCTGGGAGCTCATGTTTTCTTGATGTTGAGCCTCAATCCATATTGAAAACTAGTCTTCTGCAGCAAATGCCTCATAGCTTCAGTCTCAGCAAGCAAGATTGTATCATCTGCATACATGTTGATGAGTCTTCCTCTAATCCTGATGCCACATTTCTCCTCATATAGAGTCCAGCCTCCTGAATGATCTGCTCTGCATATAAACTGAAAAGACAGGGAGGCAAGATGCATCCTTGATGGACACCTTTCCTGATCCTGAACCATGCAGTGTTTCCTTGTTCTGTTTTAACTTCTGCTTTCTGGTCCAAGTATAGGTTTCACATGAGCAATAATTAAGTGTTCTGGGATTCCCATTCTTCCCAAGGTTAATCACAACTTATTGAGCTCCACACAGTCAAATGCCTCTGCATAGCAAACGAAACACAGGTAGACATTCCTATGGTACTCTCTGCTTTCAGCCAAGATCCATCTGACAGTAGCTATACTATTCCTAGTGCCACAGCCTCTTCTAAACCCAGCATGCACATCTGGCAGTTTTCTTCTGATGTACTTACTGTTCCAGTTATTTCTGGGTAATACTCAATAGGATCTTGCTTACATATGATATTAGTGATGCTGTTTAATAATTTCTACATTCTGTTGGGTTACCTTTTCTTGGAATAGGAACAAATACAGATCTCTTCCAGTCAGTTGGCCAGAGAGTTGTCCTCCAGATTTCTTGGCATAAGCTGGTGAGCATGTCCAATGCAGCATCTGTATGCTGAAATATGTCAACTGGTGGTCCATCAATTCCTGGGGCCTTGATTTTTGTTAATTCCTTCAGAGCAACTTGACCTTCCTCCTTCATCACCATAGGCTCTTGATCATATGTTGTTTCATGAAATTCTGTGTTAGCCAATTCTTTTTTATAGAGTGCCTCTGTGTACTCCTTCCATCCTCTTTTGATGATTCCCAGGTCATTTAACATTCTGCCTTCAGCATCCTTAAGTATTACAACTCAGGGCTTAAATTTGTTTTTTAGTTCCTTCAGCTTTAGAAATGACAAGTGAGTTCGTCCTTTTGATATTCTATCTCCAGCTCCTTGTACATTTCATTATAATACTTTGCTTTGTCTTCTCGTGATGCCTTTGAAATCTTTTGTTCAGCTCCTTAACTTCTTGATGTTTTCCCTTTGGCTTCTCTGCACTATAGTACGATATTCAATGTCTCTTCTGACATCCATCTTGGTCTTTTCTTTCTCCTGTCTTTGCAGTGATTTTTTTGCACTCTTCATGAATGATATTCCTGATATTCTCCCATAGTTCATCTGGTCTTCGCCCATTAGATGAGCCTTCACTCAAGGCTTCAAACCTGTTCCTGAAATGGTCTTTACATTCTGGTGCAACAGACTTAAGGTCAAACTTTGGTTCTTGTGTATTTGCTTTTACTTTCTTTAGCTTCCCTTTCAACTTGCATATGAGTAGTTAACGGTCTGTTCCACCAGCTGCACCTGGCCTAGTTTTCACAGCTGATATTGAGCTTTTCCAATAATTTCTTTCAGAGATGTAGTCAATCTGATTGCTGTGTAGATCATCAGGTGAGGTCCATATGTGTATTTGAAGTTTATGTTTCTGACAAAAGGTGTTTGCAATTGAATAGGACATTGAATGTATAAAATTCTATTATTCTGTCTCTAGCCTCATTTCTATCACCAAGTTAATACTTTCTGCCTACTAATATTTCTACTTTATTCCCAATTTTTGCATTCCAATCAGTTATAAGTATCTTGGCTGCATGTTCTATCAATTTCCAACTACAAAAGTTGGTAGAAGCGGGGGAGCTCTGGTGGCCTAGTGGCAAGAAGCTGCACTGCAATCCCAGAGGAACACGGTTCGAATCCACCAGATGCTCTGCCGGAGAAGGAGGCGCAATATCCTCCTGTACCAGTCAGATCTGATTTGATGGTACACGCACACAAAATAATAAAAAAAAAAAAAAGTTGGTAGAAGCCATCTATTTCCTCTTCTTTGGCCCTGGTTGTCAGTGCATTTTTAATGATAATGGTATTAACAGGTCTTTCTTTTATGTGTACGAATATTATCCTGTCACTCACATTGTATTTCAAGATGGATCTAGAAATAGTCTTTTTAACTATGAAAGTGACTCCATTTTTTCTCACTTTTCATCTCCAGTGTAGTAGACCATATGATTATCTGATTCAAAATGTCTCATGCCAACCCATTTCATTTTGCCAATACCTAGTATGTCAATATTTATGAATTCCATTTCTTCCTTTAACAATCTCCAATTTTCTTACATTCATACTTATCACATTCCATGTTCCAATCAGTAGTGTCTGTCTGCAACAGTTCCTCCTTCTCTGTGATACCCAGTGAGAAGGTTCTGCCTCTTGTGCCATATCTGCTAGTCTAATCTAAACGTGCTCCAATGTACACAGGGCTTTGTGAGCCTGTTATTTCGGGAGTGGATGGCCAATCCTGCCACCGAGTTTGTCATAATTTGGTTGCTCGACTTTTAAGCAATATTTGACAGACAAGAATTTTTCCCAAAAAAGCAAATGAGAGCACTTTCTCATTATTCAGGTACTAGACCAAGTTTTGGTCCCACTCACCACCCCCACCTCTGCTGGTCAAGGAACTGCCACTGAACCATCTCACAGAGAAGAGTGCTGAGGATCATGGCTGCCTCAGTCCGCAGACCCACAACATTAGAAAAAAAAACCAAAAACACCAAAAAACAAAACAACCCATTGCTTACCTTAGTGCCCCTTGTCTCACGCCACTTCTGAGACAAAGGAGGACAAAAGACTTAAGGAGAGAAGACCTCAGCAAGAGAACTTCCCACCCACACTGCACAGGAGCATCAACATCACAGGGGAGTGGAGAGGTAGTGGGAGGATAGAGGTAGGTAAAGACCTAAGCTGTCAACCCAGGACTGGCTAGGGGCAGGGGGTGTGAAGTGCTAGAGGGGCAAAAGGAGGGAGTTCAGCAGCTGGAATATCACCATAGAATTCAAATGTCATAACTGCGAGAGAAAAAAACAACAAACAAATCGAATGTGTCAAAACTGATTTATTTTTCCATACTGAGTAGCCTGAAACCAATAATCCTTGTTGAAAATCAAAATTATAGACAATGTCATTTCCCAAAATATCTGCATGTTTAAAAAAAAATATCAAGAAAGGTTAAAGGACTCTCCATTTCTTATATACAAAATGTCACCATTCTTATTTAGAATATTTGGGAGTTCACTGGGACCTAAATACTTTTACAAGGGATTGATTACATACTAAAGTGAAAATTCTCAAGGCATTCTTCCAGTAAAGCTGTCCCCTAAATAATGACTGCCACTATTCTGTGACAAGCAGTTACTCAGAACCAGCTAAATGCAAAGCTCTGTAGCACTGGGTCACTGCAAAGCAGGTAGTAGAATGAAGCAGATGGAACAGAACTAGTTTTTAAAAACCCAAGAGCTTTTCAAGCTTCACAAACGGAAAAGAACTCACTGTCACGAAGTCTGATCTGACTCAAGTTTACCCTCCTGCAAGTTTTCAGAAGCTGTAAATAACATATGAGAAGAAAGTGCTCACCTTCTTCTTTTCCACAGAGCAGTTAGTGGATCTGAACTACCTGCCTTGGGTTAGCAGCACAACTCCTTGGCAAGGAGGCCAACAGAACATAATAAATAGCTCTGCAAAATTCCAGTGTGGTATAATGCAAGCAATTGTCTCCAAGATGATGTCTCCAAGATCTCAACTGATGTCTGCTTTTAGGCAAATCAGCTTCCTGGCCCTGAGAACCTTTCTTCAGTCACTCAGTTACTACTTACTGTGTCATGCACACTTCTGAGTGTTG